TAACATATACAGTGAAACGTAACACCTAAGCTAATACAGTAAAACGTAACACAACGTTACAAAAAACTAATACAGTGTAAAGAAACAAAACGTTAAAAAAAACAAAGACAGTGTCACGTAACACAACGTTACCAAAGCAAATACAGTGTCACGAAACACAACGTTACAAAAACTAAAACAGTGTGACGTAACAAACGTCACGTAAAACAGTGTAACGTTATAAAACGTAACACATATTAAATGTTGATGCTGCACATCAAAGACAAATTAGTTTAGTGAATTAAAAACACATTTAAATGGTTCTTTCAATTTACAGAAAGATGAAAACTAAATAAGAATGTAGGACAAGTTTAACACATCAAAATGCCGAGAAACTACAAGAACCAGAAATATTCCTCTATAAAAAGCGCCTGTCTACAAGGATTTCAACTTTTCGAGGATCCGGAATTTCCAGCCAACAGTAAATCTCTGTTTTTTAGCAGGATTGACAACGAAATAGAATGGAAACGACCAAAGGTATGTTCCTAGGAAATTATTTGAAATAATTCAAATTTATTTAATTAAAGAATTAACTCATTTTATTAACGATAAGCTACAGCGGGTCATTCGATGTATAAGATTTACTTTAGTGCAAAGTTGAAAACTAGGGGTGTCACGGCTTAGAAAAAATGCTAACCGTTTAAACGGCGACGTAATAACCGTGTTAAACGTTTAACCGATCGAACTAATAAGATCCTTAAATTTTCAATGTTAAAAGTGTTTCTTTAAGACAAGATATGCCATTTTATTTATATCTTGTTGTACTCAAAATAAATATAATACATATCCAAATATTGAGTAGCTATTTTCCGCTAGGGTCGTACCGTTTTCGATCAGATCGGAAAAAGTTCATTGTTGAGTACAACTAAAATACCAACAATTGTCATATCTTGACATAATAAACTACGGTAATATTTAGAATCAATTTAAAACCTGATAGATAAATAAATAAGTGTCAAGTTACCATTTTTGTAACTGTTTATGAGGTTACTGTTTTATAAATAATATTATGTAACCGGTTCATTAATTGGTATGGAATAACTGGTTTATCAATCTTGTCATCATTTATTAATTGTTTATCAGGTAACTGGTTTAAGTAAGTATCATGACAGCATTTTTGTCGAGCCCGCTTGCGGAGAGCTCGAGATAGTTGCCACAATGGTGGTTCTGTGTACTTGCGTGGGTGCGTGCGTCCGTCCGGATTATGCTTGTACGGGTCGTAACTCTGTCAATAATAGGCATAATTTCAAATAACTAAGCACAAGTGCTCGCAATAAAGAGACGGCTTGTGGTGATCAAGAACCGTGTGGCTAGGTCAAAGCTCAAGGTCATACTTTAGGGTCAAATGTAAATAAACAATGGTCGCAATTAGCATATTCACACTATAACTCTATCACTATCAGGTGGAATTTCGAATAACCTGGAACAAATGTTCAACATCATGACATGGCGTGTTGCTCACAAGAACTGTGTGGCTAGGTCAAAGCTAAAGGTCATACTTTAAGAACTGTAAGGTCAAATGCAAAAAATGAACAATAAATATAATAAAAATATGGTTTCAAACAGTTTGTCCGCACCATAACTCTATCACTAGCTGCTGAAATTTCAAATAACCTGGCACAAATGTTCAACATCATGAGATGCCTTGTCGCTCACAAGAACCCTGTGACTTGGTCAAAGGTCAAGGTCATGCTACTGTCAATATAGGTCTTGTCCAGCTCGTTACTCTGGTAGAATTTCAAATTAATAAGCATCCATGTTCGCAATAATGGGAGGACGTGTGGTGCACAAGATCCGCGTGACTAGGTCAAAGGTCAATGTCTTACTTTAAGGTCAAATGCAAAAATGGTCTCAAACAGCTTGTCAGCACCATAACTCTATCATTAATCTGGCACAATTGTTCAACATTATGAGACGGCATGTCGCGTGCAAGAACTGTTTGACTAGGTCCAAGCTTAATGTCAGAAATGTGAAAGCGGACTCGACATGTTTAACCTGGGCATTTAGTATTAACTGGAACGATGTAATGGTGAAGCTTTACAAAATTTTTAATTGATATAAAGTTACCCGTTCATTAATTGGTATGACTTTATCAATTCATCATTACTATTTAGTTTTCTAAATGTTTGTATAATTCATGATAAGCAACCGAACACACGAAAAGGAAGTTTTTATACCAAGTGTTTTAGAATGAGGTAGTTCAAAGGAAGTCAGTCGGACCATCGTATTTTGGACAAACACCTAAAAGTGATCAAATCTCAGAAGGAAATATCTAATATTCCTATACCATTTTGTTTATCAGGAACTTTGTATGGCGCCAAAACTGGTTGTTGATAGTGTGAATACAGATTTTCTCCACCAGGGGGAATTAGGGAACCCGTGGTTTGTCACTGCGTGTGCTAGTCTTACAAAAGAGAGGACACTTTTCAACACAGTGAGGGCATAAGATTTTGTTATTTCCTTTTTCATATCCTGCAGTAAATACTTTATATTAAAATATTTTTAGAAGGGACAGCATGTGATCCAATGGTTAGTATTTTTTCTTTTCTTTTTTATCATTTTTTTTTCTATTTAATTCATTTTTCTTTTGATTAGGTTTTACGCTGCACAAACATAAAACAGTTTATATGGCGATATTTTAGCTTAAAGTTTACTGTTGGAGGAACCTGGAAAGCTTCCTCACATGAAAAATCCAAACTCTCTTGCGGTATTTGTAAATACAGTGGTGAAAGACGAGCGGTTTGAAGTCAACGAATTGAAACATTTGACCACGGACTCCCCTGGTTTTAAATTAAAACATTTATTAAATTAAAGTTCCACGATTAACATTGGAATCCATAATTTTCAATGTTAGCTAACATATTTTTCTAATTTTTAATAAGTGAAGTGTTCTATCACGTGATATTTGCCAGCTGCATAAATTTAACTATTCTCATAATCAATTAATTAATTAATCCACCAGGTAGTACCAGATCTCAAGAACCAGGAGTGGAAATACAATGCCGAGAAACCATCCTATGCTGGTATATTCAAATTCCACTTATGGAGGTATGGGGAATGGATTGAGGTGGTCGTTGATGACAGATTACCGACCAAATATGGTAGACTTGTCTTCTGTCATTCCACCACTAAGGCGGAATTCTGGAGCGCATTGCTGGAGAAAGCGTATGCCAAGTATGCACAAATATGATTCATATTTACTTTTTTATTTATCGACGTGAATATTGAAATTCATTTTGGAACATCTCTTCGATTGTCTATTTTCCTCAAAAGTTCTTATTCCGATTTGACGGAAAGTGGGGACGAATTTACGATTGTACTTAGCCCTTTCGTTTAAGTACATATGTTAAATGAATTGTTCAAGATTATAATATTCAATAATCGACTTTAAATTCAATTAAACACCAAGACCACTATAAATATTTCCTTATGCTTGCAAAATTATTAAAGGAACTTCATTGAGGAGCATTAAATTTGTCGAAATCATTATAAAGATCAAGTAACGCACTCAATAAAAATAAAACTAACCTGCAAAATATAATTAAATAACAATTAGAATTATATTGAATTTTTATGTTATTCTTAGCCCGACTTGAATCAAAAGCGTTTCAACACTTAAATTTTGGTTACTTTTTACTAATAATAATTCTGAAAAAAAGATCGAAGGAACAAAACGATCTGAAATTATGTACGAATGTTGCTGATGTAGACCGAAATCAAGCAGAACACTTATCACGAAAAATATTTTCCAGTTCCGTCATGTAAAAAAACCTCAGTGGAGTTTAAGATAAGAACAAATGCAGCATCTCATATAAATGAGATTGAAAAACTAATATTCTTATGACCTTTTAAACTGATAGAATTTTGACCTGAAATATGATTGTCACGTGACCTGAAAAATAATGTGGTCAAGTGACCTGGAAAATGATAGTCATGTTGACCTGAAAAAAATGATAGTCGTGTGACCTGAAAATGGTTGTCATGTGACCAGAAAAAAATGTCATGTAATAGTCATGTGACCTAGAAAAATATTGCAGGCTGTACGGTGATTACGAGACTCTGGGATATAGCCGCACTGCTGATGCTCTAGTGGACTTTACCGGCGGTGTTGCCGAGAAGCTCTTGCTGTCAAACTTCGCACAAAACGATCCGAACTGTCAGCTTGACTTATTTAACAAACTTAAAGATGCGATGGACGACAGAGCACTACTGAACTGTAATTTCGATGTAAGAAAGAGTTTCACAGACTTATATTTGCTTTCAGTGACAAACTTTATTTGTCATCCAATGAAAGCGATGTATTTCTTAAAAATATATGTACTGGTTCTTTGTATATATAACCCGAATTGGTAGAAAATGGTTATACTGCGAGCAATCGTATATATATGGTCATAATCTGACAGGAATGTTTGAAACGAATTAAAAATTCGGCAAACCTTCTTAATAACCAGAAAACAAATGTAAATACATTCATATATTGATAGTAGCCATGGATATAGTAGATATAAACGTCACATATAGTAAATATTAACGTCACGATTAGTATTTAATGTGGTTGCTTAGTATTTATTGTGGTTTTTCTATTCTTCAGTGTAGAAAAGAAGAAGTTGACAGAGCATCGAATCAGGGTCTACTTCGAGGTCACGGTTACAATGTTACTAAAGTCATAGCCATTAACTTAGAGACTCAAACAGGCCAAGTACAAATGTTTATGATCCGCCTTAGTAACCCATGGGGCACTCAGAAATGGTCCGGACCGTGGGCTGAAAAGTAAGCGTTAGTAAAGTATATAATAACAGTGATATAATAGCGTACTGGTTGAAAGTAAGAATTCAAACGTTAGTTCCAAAATTGTTTCATGAGTTTAATTATTATAACTTTTAAAAACAAGAAATATCAATTATTATCACTAGATCTAACTTGTGGCTGCCCGATTTTACAACCCATAGAGAAATAGATAGGAAGATTCAAAGATAAGGGATCTTATGAGTTCTCGTCCTTAAAGATATGTTTTGATTATCAGCAGCCATGTCGTCGATCTAAATTACTCATGTGTAGATATATTTGAGCCGCGTCACGACAAAACCAACATAATGAGTTTGCGACAAGCATGTTCGCTTACAGACCCTATAACAAGTTAAGAAACTGTAAGCGAACAGCATGGATCCTGATCAGACTGCGCGGATTCGCAGACTGGTCTGGATCCATGCTGGTCGCAAACCCATTATGTTGGTTTTGTCGTGACACGGCTCATATGTTTTGTAGTTCAACGGAATGGAAATCGTTAAGCTTTGACGAAAGATACAAATTGGTTACCGAAAATGAAGGAGAATTTTGGTAAGTCACATGACTGTTATTATTAAGATTATCTCCCTTGTTTTTCTTTTTTTTATGAGAAAAAAAAAAAACAAAAACAAAAAACCACAAACAAAAACATACAAATTTGTTCGAGCAAAAAGGTTTAATACATCATATTCTTAATCAATGCAAAGTTTACATAAATTCTTTTATACAGTTTTAATCCGGCCTATAAGTTTATATGAAAAATATAGCAAACGTCTTTAATTGTTTAAACTAAAATTGATAATAGGTGTTTTTTTTTCGAATCCAAGGTGCAATATTTTTAGAGGGGAATTCACGTTTTTTTCCAGATCCAGACTTTGTTTGTTGAAACTGTAGATGTTGTATATATATGCACAATCTATAGAGTCAAATGTAAAACATGTTTAGGATATATGTATATTTCATAGATGAAGTCAGTATTAACATCAGCAGAATAAATTTGGCATGAGTTATTTTCACGTACTTATGAATTACAGGATGAGCCTAAATGACGTCATCAGCAATTTTACCAGCCTTGATATATTACACTTTGTGAACACCTCCATATTCTCTCCGAAGAAAACATGGAACGAAAGCGTGTTCCATGGAGAATGGAACGCCGCGTCTGGAAGAAATGGTGGCAGTGACTGGAATTCAAGAACTTTCCTGAGTAATCCGCAGGTTAGATGATGTCTGTGCTAAAACGTCAACATGATTTAACTGGCTGCTATTATTTACTCCCGATCAGTAGTTTTGAGGGTTTTTTCTTCTTCTTTTTGACACGAGATTGGCTATAATAGACAGTGACGTGATATGACGTCAAAAAGATTATTTTATTAAGCTAAACAAATTTACTCCCTTGTTTTGCATTTGGAATATTAAATTACAGACGAGTGGTGAAAATTTTGCAACATTTGTGATCCGACAATTTACGATTTAATTGTTGGCTGGGCATAATGTTATTATTTTCATTCTAGTATGTGTTTGACATAACGGCAGTAAACGATGAGATAATGGTATCCCTGGAACAGCATGATATCAACACATTTAGATTACATCGTGGTATTAAATTCGATGAGATTGGATTTCAAATAATGAAGGTACAAGTGAAAAAAAAAGAAAATTTTAAATGTTATAATAAATCAAATGATAATATTAGTTTATGAGAAGAAAATTAGTTGATTTTCATGTGACAAATCTTCATACTGAATTTCATAGTACGAAAAAAGATAAGTTTACCGCACTTTTTTATTGTAAGTTGTTAAAATTGAAGAAGAAATCTCCTTTTTCAAACGCGAGTTTATGGGTATTCATCGGTAACAGTTTTTTCTGACAATATAATGACATGGTTTTCAACTATAATATATCTACTGTTTTGTAATTTAATAACATCTATTTATAAGTATTAAAACAACATCTCAGGTGGAAGAAAACCGCAAATACAGAATTCATATCAATGGAGACCGGATGTTCAAATCTGATTATGTAAGGTCACGGAGTGTGTTTGGGTCCGTCGAGTTAAAGAAGGGACGTTACGTGCTTTTCCCGACGACAAAAGACGCCGGGGATATCGGAAAGTTTATGGTGCGACTCTATACCCGAAGTTCGGCATATAGCAGGTATATTTTATAATACTTCTGGTTAATTATTAGCGTTTGGTTTGCAAATAAAATGTTTCCTCTTTGCTTCCATAGATATTGGCTGAGTACTCGTCGTTCGTCCGTCCGACCGTCCGTACGTCCGAGCATAACAATTATAAGGTTTTGGAGTCACGGTATGCACACAGAGGAATCGTACCGTTCAAACAAAAGAAAATCACAAGAGAAAATAGCACGACGTTCATTTTGGTAAAATATGGGTGTAGAATATTCCACCTGTATGTACATAGGTTAACTTGAAAAAAAAAATTTTTTTTTAGAAACTGATAAGTATTTGACAATCTAGAGAGATTAAAAGAATTGGATGTGAAAAGATTCGTTAAAAATTGTCTATGTGTTTTCGTAAATGTAACACTTCTTGAAATAGTCATTGTACTTTATTGATTTATACAGACTTTGTTTCATTTCCATTGTGTATGAAAGTTTCTTGCTCAAGTCAACAAACTACACTGAACAAAAGTTCTAACCGATCACCCTGAGTGTTCGCTTATATATGAAAAAGAATTTTACCAATAGATCCGACTTTTATTTTATTTCGAAGAGAATGAACACATTGAGAACAATAAAATTATGAAATTTTTCTATTTAAATAATACTTTATCGATATTTAAAAAAACTATTTTTATGAACAACCACTCACTTGTCTGATAGAGGCTCCAGCATTCAACATTCCAACTGCTACGGCACGATCTTACATCAACATTCGTGCCATGTTTTATGTTTTTTTCACTTATAAAGTTAAAAAGGATTTATACAATATAAAATTTAATACTCACCACACTCTGCACGAAAATTTCGTGCCCAAATGTGTAAACCGCCCCCTGCCTCCTGCGTGAGTGCATTGAACCGTATTAAATTATTTTTCTTTCCACAAATCGGTAGAAAATGACACAAAAATCACAACTGCAAAATTTAATAAGGATCTATTGACCCGTTGTAAAATAATCAAGATTTAAGTGATCGGTTAGATTTTTTGTTAAGTGTACTCGCACCAGACGGGGTTTGAACACACGCAGATCATTTTTTGAAACAAATGTGAAGAATAATATCGTTATGTTTATATACTTATTTTAATTAAAGGGAGCTAATTGAAGAATGTCCTAAGGCGACTTGTTTTGGTGGAACACCATTACAGGTGTCTACAATAACAGTAGAGGGTGCCACTGGTCTTGAAACCCCCGCAGGTTCATCAGTCAATAGTAAGAACTTTTTAAATGTTCCATCGCTTTAAAAGAAAAGAGCATTGAATAATATAGTAGAATCAAAGTACTGAAAGTACTTTTACTCGTAGAGCAACTGTAATGGAGGGAAAGCGTATGACGTATTAGGTTTAAACATCACATGGAATTTATATATTATTAAGTATTACAGTATTATACATGCATGGACATTGACAGTAATGGCCATTGGTCTCTCACCGCTAATTCGGAAATCATTTTGGATTAGTAAATAGTCAACAACAACAACAAAAATAAAAAACAAACAAAAGCTGTTTTTGTCTCATTTCCTGTATTGTTAAAATTGCCCTAGTATATTTCTCATACATAAAGTTATTGTGAAGAATTGACAGTTGAACAAGTATATATATTTGGTTTTCTTTATTTATAACATTAATTACTGATCTTAAAACAAACAGTATAAAATGTCGAATTCGTAGGAGGACAGATTAACACACAAAAACAAAACGAAAAAAATCAACAACAAATAATTTGGCGACATTCCGAGAAAAGGTAATTGGTAAAAATAACCTGTGGTGACACTGTCATACAATACATAAAACCGGATACAATTAACGTTTGCCTTGGATTAGAAACTTCAAATCGCCGCGGTTTTTTAATTATTATATATTTTGTTTGTTTTTTGAATTAACACATTTATTTCATAAATATGCCTCTATCGTATAGCTATAGATGCCTACGTCAAGATTCTATGCGAGGGAGAGAAAGTTGTTTCAGACAAACAGGTGAAAAAAGATAGTCCAAAGTGGAATATAAAAGCAACATTTTACAGAAAACAACCAGACACCGAACCAATCATTGTTGAGGTAGCTGCTATATTGTTGTAATTGAACTTTATCAATCTCTTCACATTACCTTGAAGGGTGCATGCGCAGCGGTTATAAGCCAGATGGACCGAGTGCTTGCGGCGACCCAGTTTTTATTTATTTATTTATTTATATTTTTCCTAAAAATCACGTGTATTGACTATTGACAACATACGCAATTGTGTAGCTATTTGATACAGTTGGGACTCTAATGTAGCGGCTATCAAATGCAAAGAACTACTTTCTAAGCAAAGATCATTATTACACGTGCGCATGTAAAATGTTTAGGGACGCTTTAGAGGCTGTTCGTGTTCTATTTCATAATCATTTTCACGGCAAGCATTTTGAAATGGTTCGTTTAAGTTAAATTATTTTCAAAAAAGTTTAAAAAATTGTGGTTCTGGCATTAATCACGAAGTATCACTTTTGGATGTGTAAAGTAATCAAAGTGGGTGCGTCTAGTAATAATTGTAGGCTGAGTATAGTATCATTGTAGGGTGTGTCTAGTAATCATTGTGGGGTGTGTCTAGTAATCAGTGTGAGGTGTGTCGTCCAGTAATCAGTGTGAGGTTTGTTTAATAATTATTGGGGATGTGTCTTGTAATCATTGTTGGCTGAGTATAGTATCATTGTAGGGTGTGTCTAGTAATCATTGTGGGGTGTGTCTAGTAATCATTTCTGGGTGTGTCTAGTATAACTGTGGGTGTGTCTAATAATCATTGTGGGCTGAGTATAAAAATCATTGTAGGGTGTCTAATAATCATAGTCGGTGTTTTTAAAAAAAAAATGTTGGCTGTGGTTGTGCCTTGTAATCAGTGTAGGCTGAGTACAGTAATCATTGTAGGTTATGTCTAGTAATCATTGTGGGGTGTGTCTAGTAATCATTGTGGGGTGTGTCTAGTAATCACTGTGGGGTGTGTCTAGTAATCACTGTGGGTGTGTCTAGTAATCACTGTGGGTGTGTCTAGTAATCAGTACTTTTTGTATCTTTATAAATGTAATAATACCTACTTGCCCAGCTTAATTTGTTATTCATGTTAAAGGAACTCCACTGAGACCCATTTATAAGCATACAAATCTTATCTTTTGGCATTTTTACATGGAAAACTTGTGGGACACTTTAAAACAGAAAGATGTTCAAAAGCATATTAAGAAATATACTCAGTAATAACTTGAAGTGTACTTTTATGATCTTCGTAGCCCAATTTGTTTGCGTTGGGTCATTATTTCATGATATTTTTATATTTATGATTCTGGAAAAACTGAATAAACAAATAATTTGAAATTTTGCACAAAAGTTATTGGTCAAATTTTGGATCAAACGGGGACATGAATATTAAAAAAATATTCGTAAAAAACCTTAGTTGGTTCCCTTTAAGAATCTAAAAAAACAATAAGAATTTTATCGGAATACAGTAATTTGCAATATTGTCAAAAAAGGAGAGACATTTAATTATATAGTAAAATTATGGGAATAAGTAGTTAATGTATGATGTTTGTCTATTTCCTCAGGTTTGGAACAGTAACATGTTAGTAGATGACTTTATGGGCGTAGCGAGAATACTGGAACCTGGTAATGAAGAAGGGGAAATAATCAAATGTGATTTATTTGGAAGGAGGAACGAAAAAGACGCCATTCAACCAGGGAACCTCCATGTTTTCATAAAGTCTAGTAACGATCTGGCTTACTTGTAACTGATTTTTCACAATGATTGAAATGTGAACAATTTGCTGGTTCTAACGTGCCACTAATGATAATGATATTATATGAATGATGTATATATCTTTAAATCATAATAATTTGAGTCTGTCATTTAAGAGAATTTTACAATTGAATTCTAACTATTTGATAGTCTGTAAAATGTTTTACTTTTAAGTCTGCATATTAAAATATATTTATTTTGCACTGTGCACGTGGTTAGCTCATTTTCTAACACATTTACAAATGTGTAGTTTTGATACAATGTTAAATAAACTGTGGTATAATGCGTTAGCAAATGATAATGTCGTATATTGCACTTTTACTAACAGGTTAATTAAGTCATGTGTATTTTATAATTTAAATTAATAACAAACACAGCTTTAAGCAAGTACAAGTGTTTACTTCATAATTGGAACGTTACACATAACATAATTTATGTATGTTATCTAAAAATATGCAAAAAATATAGCTGCATATGCACATTGGGTGGTTAATATGTCAAGAAAAATTAATACACAGCTTTAAATATAACTCCAAGTACGTACATGTATATCAATTATGATGAAAAGTATATTCACTATGGTAACATAATTATAATATAAAAACTTAACAGCAGTTAAACGAGCAGTTTGGATTTAAGCAGTTAAAGTTACTGTTGTACATTTATTTAAAATTAAAATGTAAAAAGTTAGTTTTGCGTTTTTCCTTCCCGTACAGCACCATAATAAGAACAAAAACGTTTTTACGATTTATTTATCATTATAATTATATATAAATAGTATGTTCAAAAAGCCTCTACTAACATTGTTTTTATTTCTAACCACATTTATTCATTTTAACATGAAATGTGTATAATAAAGAAAATTTGACTTGACTTGCATATATATTTTTTCAATTATATGTTGTTCTTTAATGGTTTTTTGTCTTCAATTGTTGATTTAAAAATCACGTGGGATAACTAGTCGGTCAGTGTCGGTAAGACTGAACAACCGCCAAGGTAGAACAAAAAGGTGTGTTCAAATCGGCGTTAAAAGAAGATAAACAAATAAGTTTGCAGAGGGTATCATCGTACAAAATCATAATAGCCTATTTTGAACTTGGAACGCTTGCTTACAAATCACATTAATCACTGACGTATTGCATGTTTGCGGTAGACACTATACTATGTAGTAGTCTTTAAATTAAAGTATGTACTATTCTGTTCCTATCATGACAATAGACATTTGTAAGTAATGAACTGTATACCGACAGCTATCATTCTAGAGTAATTTTCCTTTTTAACTTAGAACTTTTGTCAATATTGCATATTAATACTTGACAAGCAACATGTCCCCTTATAAACTTTCGGGTTATAAATGGTTGATGCCGTTTTCATGCGAGCGTGAACATCGCAAACGGTGCTCTTGTTTATATTGTATTTTTTTTTTGTTGTTTCTGGTTTGTTCGTTTGTTTGTCTCTTCTGTTTTATTTTCATTTTATTTTAATGATTTAATATTACTGATGATTCCGAACTATCTACTTGTGACTTAAATATCTATTTTATATTTGCTTGACATGTTTTTAAATTGTGATTATCCATTGAACATATGTTCAAATTGATAAAATCAAGTGCACTTGTTAATATCCGGTTGGTATCTGTTTAAATTAATGCTATTTGTTCAGATGGAATATGAATGGAAAATGACGAAAAATGTGATAAGGAAATAGTTTTGTTTGTTTGATATACCTGCAAAAAGCACACTCTAAACGCAAAAGTAAAAATGAGAATATACATGTATATATTTCAATTATGGATAGGGGAAGTTATTTTGAAGTAATTACTATAAATACTAAGAGTCGCTTCCCCTAAAAGTTACTTGGCAGTTTGTTAATGAAGTTTAAAAAGTGAATTTAAGAATGTATACATATGATGGACCTCTTTCAAATGTGTGTTTTATTATCTAAAATAGGTTGCCACCTTGATGAACCATTTTCCAAATATATTTCAAACAAATTAATTTTTTTGACGATACGTGCATCAACGGCATAGCATAACATAACATAACATAACATAACATAACATAACATAACATAACATAACATGGCATTGTTATAACATAGCATAACATAACATTAGCATTAACATAACATGTTTATAAATGAGTCATATGCAAACTGCATATTTCAAATATTAAACAATTAGATTTTACATTTAAGTGCAATGGCAATATACTGTCCTTAGGGTAATAGAAACTATTTCATAATTGATTAATTATTTCATTGATTGATTAATCGATTAATCGATTGATTGATTTATAAATATGCAAGACATGATTTGTCATCATAATTTATAACGAAACGAGTGGCCTTTTTATGCATTTCTTTTAATAATAATTATTTCTGAATAAAGAAACTTATTCCATTGATGTACCATTATTTACTTCACAAACTATTATTATATTTGGTACAAGTTTATTTTAATATTGACGACTTGTTAACAAATAGTACAATGCAATCAATAAATACGATATTATTGAAATATTAAAATCGAACACGATTAAAGTCATTGTTCATTGTACGTATTTAAACATTTGCTTTTTCATTGAATTTCTAAGGGTTTAAAAACTGACGATGTAAATATTTTGTATCCAATGGCAAAAGGAGATCGGATGATGTTGATTTTGTCCATTGAATGCATTTTTTCTTTTCAAAATGAAGCTCAAAGAAATTAGGTCGATTGTATGTATATATAGGTGATGTATTCTTGAATAATAATAGGGTTGAAAATAATGATTTTTATTCGTTATATATTTTAACCAGAAAGTTCAATTTGAATAAATGTCTTTGGTCGAGATATCCATTGAAAAGTAGAACTATAACAAATATTTAAAAATGTTTCTTGAAAAAAAGCGTTATAATTATTCACCAAGAGACCAGATACATTTTAGAATGTTTCATATAATCCTCGTAAGAAATTCGTTGCATTGGGTATTTTTGCGTGAACAGGGGAACAATTCCGGCCACTCAACCGAACATCTTGGGTTTTAAACGGAATACTTGTACGTCCTCTAATGATACCAGTATTGGTTGGTCCAGAGTATTGAATTGTATCAGTTTGAACTAGCAAATATACAAAAGATTGGTATCATAGAATAGCTGATGACGGTGTAGCAACGCTATATGTCGCAACGCCGCTATATGTCGCAACTAACGCTAAATGTCGCAACGCTGACGCTATATGTCGCAATCAACGCTATATGTCGCAATCGCCTACCGCTAAATGTCGCAACGTTGCCGCTATATGTCGCACAAAAATCGATTGCCGCTAAATGTCGCAACCCCTTGACGCTAAATGTCGCACTTGGTAGGAAAGTAACAGATTGAACTGAAACAAAAGGTAAGTGTTAAAACATTTAAAGTATATACCATTTACACATGAAAACATATCCTAGTAAGAAAACAAAAGTTGTATTTCGCGGTCTATGGCAAAAACTTTGTATGGCCATAGAAACGGTTTTTGATAAAAGGAATGGATTTGGTTCTCAACCACGGACCAGGTGTGAGATCAAACTTTCTCTTTGAGGATGTCTTTCTCACAAAATGCATCAACAAAAACATTTGGATATACATGTATATTTGTTATATTATTTGACATAACTGAGCAAACCGCTTGTTAATGCTAAGGGGGAACTATACCTTAATATATATTTTATATTATACCTGTTCATAATCTGACTAGATAGGCTCTACTACATGTAAGTATCAAATAATACCCAATTGACCTGTTGATTCGTAACTATGCGGTGTATTGATATAGGTTTATGACGGAATTGTTTTACTTTCATAACTTTTTATATTTATCTCAATATTTCTTTGGGAACATGAATGAATCAATATACTATGGAACTGCCAAATGTTGAATGCCAACTGCTTACTGTCAACTGCTTACGGTTTACTACTTATTATTCACTGCTTATAGCATTAAAATAAAAATGGACGACCTATTACAACTATATTGGTCAAAAAATTATTCAGTTGCCGAAATAGTTGCCGTTCTGGAGGTCAAACACAATATAGTGCAGTGGTATATAGGCCACTTCCAACAGCCTTGCTGTTGGGTAAACCCTTTAGCGATGTGGTTGAGGTGTCCGCCTACGGACCAAGAGGTCTGTTGTTCAAAACCCGGTTGGACCCTTGGTATTTTTCTGCCTCCTAATTTACTTTAATGGTGTCAGAAGTGTTTGACGGACTCATGCGGTAAGCAGGGAGTGTCATTCAGGAGAGCTGGCTAGCTCTGAAAAGTAAAGAGGGGAGGAGTGTAGTGGTTGTAAGTATATAGGCCACTTCCATCAGCCTTGCTGTTAGATTAACCCTTTAACGTGGTTGAGGTGTCCGTCTACGGACCAAGAGGTCTGTGGTTCAAAACCCGGTTGGACCCTTGGTATTTTTCTGCCTCCTAATTTACTTTAATAGTTTACAGGTACATATATATTCTTAGAACAACATTTAAAGGAATTCACTGATAAATTAATAAATGCATGGACTATAACATGGAATTCCATAAACGACAGCTAACTGTTGACTGCTTACTTTCTACTTCTGACTTACTACTGCCTACTGTTAACGCCTACTGCTTACTGTCAACTGCTTACTGTCAATTGCCTACTGTCAACTGCTTACGGCTTACTGCTTATTGTTCACTGCTTATAGCATTAAATGTACCAAAACCTAAATAATTATGCGTGTCTGTGCAATAAATCGTTGATAACTCGGTCGGAATCCTTTGGCTGATACATTGCAAATAAATACGCGCAACGCACGGTAGGCAGTAAGCAATAGTGTAAGCAGCGCGCAGTAAGCAGTCAACAGTTGGCTGCCGTTTATGGAATTCCATAATATACTGTATATACTGCCGCGCATTTACATTTCTCCGGATATTATGAGTAATGTGCCGAATGTTGTTAGTGTAAGGAGACTGCTTATGAATTTTGGACGATTTAGTGGCCTAATTCTCGAAATAAGACGTATAATTAGAGAATCTCGTTGGGCAAATGCCTGGTTACACCTTCGCCTTTGCGTTGATGCCATATGTTGGTTTGAAATTGTAGATATATGGTATAGAAGGCCATGAACGTTTGTAGGTCATATAATAATGTTTTAAAATATATGAGATAGGTGAAAGCTGAAACTGATATAACATTGGATTTCATTTTTTTTAAATATCACAATTAGTACTAAGAATTTGTTTTCGTCATTGTACTTCGTTTATATTTGCAAGTTTGCTTTCCAAAAGTTTTGTTTTATTTCTTTGATTACAAATGGGAGATTTGTATATAATTTTTATCATAACATTTACATTAAGTTTATAATTTACTATTCTTAAAATGATAACTAAAACTCTAGTGCCATATCATGTTTTATGTAGTTTTACGGTTACACTAGTCGTTTATGAATATTATTGTTCACTTAATCATTACAGTATCAATTAGCATTATTTGATTTCAATATACTTGTTCTTGTTGGAAAATATGGATTAAAATGATTTGCACAAACTTGAGTTTATTTTTTTTTATTTGACTTTGTAATCATGGTACCTTACCACATTATTAACTGTATAACAGTAACGTGTATTTTATTTCTTGCGGTGCCTTGTGCCGCCGCATTGCGGCCTTGCCGCATAAACTGGTTCAAAGTCGTTTATGCGGTGATTTTCTCCGCATTAAAGAAATACTTTTTATGCGGCACAAAGGTACCCTGTCACCGCATAAAAACAATTAAAATGTTTAAGACTTTTTTGTATTAGTGACGGGGTGTTTTTTGACGTTAAAAAATAAAATAAATGTAAAAAAACATTTATCTCCTGCTAAGGTTATGTAAATGTGCAACGTGTTTATGTGTCAATTAAAATTGAATCGGCGTATGACATATTTTTTTACCATTTATTGGACTGAGGGACATTTATGATCATTCGTAACGTCATTTTAAACATTTTTAAGAGATAATTGTTAATGACAGGCCACACAAGTTTGCTCGGTTGTGTACTAAATTTTTATCATGTCGTGAAATTGATTTCGCTAAATCGTGAAAATTTGTCACCGCATTTGTCGGAACAGGCGCGCAGGTTTTAGAGGCATATCTAGGCATACCAGTAACTCGATTTTGTAAATTAAAGAAAATTATAAGATAAGATTATGTTACTTTAATGTGTTAGAACCGTTCTACGGTAGTCTACAATGGAATCCCTGTTTAAGGGATAAATTATTATCGAAAGTTGTTGAAATATTAATACTTTACTTTGTTTGGCTTGAAAATATATAAACTCAGGTTCAACCTCTTTATGTGGCAAAAGGCACTGTTGCGCAGCATTAAAGCGATTTTCGCTTTATGCATTGCGCCAAGCCGAATAAACGTGTTTATCACTATTATGCGAGGAAAATCACCGCATCAATGACTTTGAACCCGTTTATGCGACAGGGCTTCTATGCGGCGTCACAGTGCCTTTATTCGGCTGCGAAGCATCCAAGTCTTATATGATTTTATATAACACACATGATTTACTGCGGCACTACACGATTTATTTTGCGAGTTCCCAATAAAAACACAAGTAAATAAAAAATGTCTCGTACATAATTTTAACACTTTGGGGCACATTTTAAATTTCTCGCATTGTTGCAAAACATTTTTATTTTTCATTTTTGTCAAATGAAAAGAAAGTTTTTTCTCATGTCCGTAAACATCCAATGGACTGGACGATTTCAGATTTCCATGTATAGGGGGTAGGTAATCGAGACTAAATATCATGGAACTAGACAATAAAGCTCAGGAAATGATGACGCATAGAATCTTGTCACCTGACCTGTCTGGATCTAAAGGGGCACTGTTTTGTATTGGACAAACACGCAAAATGTGTTACATTCTCATAATACAAAATGTATATCTGAATCTATCCATCTAATTTTTTTGCCTTAAAACTAGAAAACAAGTTCGTTATGAAGAAATGTATATTTTTTTATTTAACGCATTAAAGTTTTTGATCAGTCCCGTTACAATCAAATAAACCGTGTGATAAGGAAATATTTTACTATTATAATTATACTATAGTAACGATTCCCCTTTAACCCAGTAAAATGTAAATTTATAACTTCATGGTGTAACATAGTAATACATTTTTTTGTTTTTTACATGCTGTTAAGCAATTTGGTAAAACTCAACAGCTGCCTTTTAAATAACAGTTGTTCATGCCTTTCCATCAAACAATTGTTTCGCAGCCATTTTACGCTTGTATAATTATATATATTATATTAAAATATCACGTTTCTGTTATACCTAGTTGATGTTATTGTGACGTGTGTGCTTTTCATTGGTCAGAAAACTGTTCGTGGTGCTAAGGACCATGCTTCAAATAAACCGACGGTGCGGAATGCCTGGGTTACATACAACATGTACAAGTTGTTTGAAATTTGTTCAAATTCGCATAATAAATGATAAAGTTATGGAGCGGACAAGAATTTGACCTTCAAGTGTGACCTTGACCTTGACGCGGTAGGGGCCTTGATGCTGCATGGGACACAATATCTAATGCCGGTGAACATTTGTGTGAAGTTTGATCAAATTAGCATAATAAATGAAAAATTTATGGAGCGGACACGAATTTAACCTTTGACCTTCAAGTGTCCCGCTACCAACTATTTTGATGTTTGTTGTCCGTTCCACTGTATTAAATAGTAATAAGACACATCACGCAGTAACGATATGAATTCACGCGGCTTATATTTAATTTCATTTTGTTACCGATAAAACCTCTGTTAATGCGATATATGTATTTGTGAATACAAATATAAATGGAAACCAATCGGTCAATGTGCCTGATCTGATTCGACTTTTCCACCAAGTGCGGCATTTAGCGTCAAGGGGTTGCGACATTTAGCGGCAATCGATTTTTATGCGACATATAGCGGCAACGTTGCGACATTTAGCGGTAGGCGATTGCGACATATAGCGTTGATTGCGACATATAGCGTCAGCGTTGCGACATTTAGCGTTAGTTGCGACATATAGCGGCGTTGCGACATATAGCGTTGCTACAGATGGTTTTGTTGTTTGTTTGCTTTTTGTTGTTGTTTTATTGCCTTTTTTCTATAGCCGCTAAGTAAAACGTATTAACTATTTGAAGAGACGAGTTGCTCCTCATTGCATTTTTCCCTCACCATTGTTTGACGCCTGTTTCAGTAGTATAAAACAAACAATGTGCACGGACAGTCTTTTTAAAGATATTTGCATATTTTTTTATAATATTTTGATGAATAATTTCATAATATTATTATCATTAAATCTAAGCATTGAATTGTATATCTCTGCAAAATCATTGAGCATTTTAGGTCGCAAACCCATTATGTTGGTTTTGTCGTGACGCGGCTCAAATGGATGTTTTAGCAGTTGTGAGATACATGATCCAATATAACATATATTTATATGGCAGGTTATAAAGAGTTCTAAACAAAATATTATTATATTATATATTTCATCATATAATTGTTCGTACTAAATCACCTAGAACTTTTTCAACATTTTTGTGTCACGCAATATTTTGCAAGAATATCCAAATCGTACATTTCTTTTGTTTTTACCCATGTATTTGAAATTCTTTTGGAACATGTGATCATTGTACATGTTGAAGACTCCTCGTTAAGTAGCTACCAAGTTTGATGACAAACATACGTTGAAATACATGCAAGCAGTTGTTCAAAATCCACTAGATTTACTGAGAAACGTATATGTAGTTTGTTACAGAATCAACAAAAAATAAACCCCAACAAAAACATGTAGTTGTTCCTAAACCACTAGGTTTACTAATAAACGTACATTTTATTGTCCAGTTACCACTAGTTTTGTTGAGAAACAAACATTTAGTTGTTTAAAAATCACTAGATTTGTTATCAACTTGAGATTAAATAAAATGTTTTGAAAACAAACTTCAAGAGATGTCTGAGTCAATTTGACTAAAGTTCAATTGATTTGTGTTTTCAAAGCGTAGCTTGAATTTAATCAGATATGGGTCGGGGTGAGTTGTTGTAAGAGATCATTTAGGTATCTTACGTATTTACCTATCTTTCTTTATCTATAGTGGCATGAGGAAGTGTCACTTGAATTTAAGTTTGAACTGGCGTGTTTGTTTGTCAAAACATTTAACTGTTAAGTGCTCATAAACCAGTTGAATTAAATCTCAAATTATCTTTTTGTATTTAAGCTAAGAACCAATGAGTAAACAGGGAAATAAAATCACGATATAAGGTTATCATTTACAAAGCATACTTTTTGAAAGTATATCTTTCGGGTATAATTTACTTCCTTTCTAAGTATTTTTAAAAAGAACGTCGTAAAAATGTTTAAGTTATATGTTAACCCATGGTCTTTCAAATAGATATTTCTATTTGAAAGGCCCTGGTTTACTGTACTTATGAGTACATCTAAAGTAATTTGATCTATATAATGGAAGGTTCTGTAATACAATGAATAATTAAGATGATAGTATTTAGTATAAGACATAAAAACAAACCAGGAAAGAATTATGCATGGGGGTTAGTTGTTAGTATATGTGAGATACATGAGCCAATATATTACATAAATTTATATATAACAGAGATAAATAAGTGTACTAGAATAAAATAGTATAACTCATCAGATAAATTGAATGGCCATTCTTAATTACTTGGAACAGTTATTTATCAAGCAGCTTTTAATAAGAATATTCAAGTTATTTTTAATGGTTTTTAATCAATATTTGAAAATACTGATGGAAAATGTGCTCCAGTTTAAAGGTTTGTTTCTGTCGTGGTGTTACTATAACAAACGTTTCTCTCGCGGTGTAACTGTAAAAAATGTTTCTCTCGTGGTGTTACTGAAACAAACGTTTCTCTCGCGGTGTTAATGTAACAAACGTTTCTCTCGCGGTGTCACTGTAACAAACGTTTCTATCGCGGTGTTACTGTAACAAACGAGAGTTTCGCGTATATAATATATGTTTCCAATAAGTTCAAACTAGTGGTCTTTTAACGCGACCTGTCGTAAGCCGTTTTATAAAAGAAAATATTGATTCTTAGTGGCTTCGTGTTTGAACCGAGAATATATATACTGGTTAGTATAGTGAAATATAGTGCATTAAATCTGGATATATAGGGGAATATGGATTATAAAACGCTGCGCATCGGATTTTGTTAAAAGGTATTTCCTTTATTGCAATATCAAAGCGTTTTGTTGATAAAATACCTGTAAAGATTAAAAGGACATTAATTACATTGTATATATTTGTGAACATGCTATCGTATTTAGAATGGGGAAATTGTTTACTTTTACATTATATTATTTGTTTAATGCATACTTTCACTTTAAGAGAGTGTCATTTGTTACAAAAGGTTTTTTTTATCAAATATTAAGTTTATGTTTTTTGTTGTAAAACAAACTTAGTAATTGAATTGGCAGCGACACCCAGGAGCAAAACGCTTCGGACTAGTAATCTAAGGATTGCTAGCCGCGTTGGTTCAAACCCCATTTCGGGAAGGTGGTTGTTTTCTTAAGTAAAAACAATACATTCATCTCTCGGGACTGGTTGGTTCCAGCTTATAAGCTTCCCATACAATCGAACTAAAATAAACTATAGAGTAAGGGCCGAATATTTTACTATATATACCAGAATAATAATAACATGCTGACACTTTCATGTCATTCACTTTAAATACTGTTATTGTATACAACAATGTGTATGGTGGTTCTACAATGATCAATTTTTGCGAATCAATAAGTTTCTATATTATAATGAAGAAATGTTTTCAGATTTTATGTTTTCGATCACAGTTCCTGCATTATAATATGCTTGTAATTAAACTTGAATAAAACTGCATCTAATAGACATTTGAGATGGAGTCATACTTTGGGATAAATGATGAAAAATTACAAATTACCCAAACAAAAGATCATATACATAAATCTGGAAAAAAACTATATTGTATATAAATACATGTAAACATTTATGTAACTCTATCTTATTATGATTAATAAAAGATATGACAATTTAAAATATTGAAATTTTAAAACTATTCAATCATCATTATCATCATTATAATAATAAAAATCAAAATCACAACAATCTGACTACACCACCACCACATCAGCAGCACCGTTATCATCATCAACAACATCATCACCATCATCATAAACAATATCTACAACAATACCCTTTATAAATGTTATAATGTTGGCTCTTTTGTCCTGGTGCGGTAGCTAAACTGTGTTCTGGTAAAATTCAATGTGGCTAACTGTCGTGATCCTGAGTGAAAACTAACAACACCACATACGCACGCACGCACGCACGCACGCACACCACTCCTTTGTCATATTTAAAAGAAGTTACAGGTTAAACATCAGCATAAAGAAAGCACCTATTTGTTTTTCTCTCCTCCAAGGAAGCAGAAATCAAAACATTACGCATGATTGGGTAAGAATGATTTATTCAACATAATGGATATTGATTTGGTGCACTCCTCACTGAACGTTGATGTTTATATATTGATTGAACTAACACGTTAAATTAATGTTTCTATACCCCATTAATTGCATGCTTTTTACTGTAGTGTCTTAAAGTTCAACCTCGACATCATTTTTACTTTTTTATCAGTGTTAACAAAAACGTATAAACGAAAAACAACAAAAAAACAAAACAAAAAAAACAAACAAAAAACAGAAAAATGATAAGTGTGACAGGGTTTAAAAGCATTTTACACACATTGGTATAAATTCATTGTCATTTAAGAGAATGATGAATCAACATAATGCACATGTTATTACTGGTGTTATATTTAAAATGTATCTCGTTTGAACGAATTATTATTTGATTATAATGAATAATTTTGTTTCAACGAAATATTATTATTATTATTAAGCGGCCTTCAGCTTTTACTTTCTGATGAAAAAAACATAACGATTCTGTATTGTTTCAAACTAAGTGTTTCAGTTATTTGATCTAGAAACTCATTGTTATATTGTACTTTATGTTGATCTTTTAATCGTGTCGCTGAAGTATATTTAAATCTCCCCTCTTGGTCAGACTAATCTGTCATAATTTTTGAACTTTGAATGGTTTTCTATTTAGATTTACATGTCGTAAACCGCTTACATGTGTCTAATAAGATTTAATATTTAAAAATTTAAATATATAAAAATAGAACAGTTACATCCTTCTGTATATACTGTATAATCACAATTGTTAAAGCTGCATGTCGCCAGATGAGCCAAAATATTTTAAGAAAATCGAACTAAAATTTAAAGATAAGGAAAAGGACTCGAGATTCAAGTCATAATTTAAATGTTGTGTGCGATTAATGACCATTTTTTCAGTATTTATCACTATATTTGCACTGCGTGACTAACGCAGTAAGGGCTATTTTGCACATTTTGATATAATTTTTGTAACTAAAATGAAGTGTTAGCGTCATTTTCAATACGTAACTTACTGTCTTTATTCACGTCACAATATTTTATTCTTAAATAAATTTTCAAAATTTTCATGAAGAAAAGCTAGAATCTGAAGGCATCATGCTTTAAAAAAAAACTTGTAAACGATTTTAATAGATCTCATAAAAACCGTTTACGATACATTTCAGAAAACAATTCCCCCAGACAGGTTGGGCGTTTGCTCCATCCCTCTAGTTTAAACGTCAGAGAAAAAAAGAATATAAAAATAAAAACTTTACGTTAATAATTGCGTTCAATTTATATTTAACTAGGAAAAAATAATCAATAATTCATGTGACCTATGAAAATTTTTATAAATATGTTTCAGAACATATCGCTAATTTAAATGTTAAATAGAGATCTTAGAAAGAGTGGGGCAGTCTTTGTTATACTGTCGGTCGTTTTTATTTTGTTTTCGAAACATTTTCTTATTATCAATTACTGTAACTCACGATTACAATAGTCAATCTTTTGAAATACATTACTTATTCAACTCAACATAACAAGCGGAAAATGAGCATAATGTCACTTTAAAGTTCACATTAGACATTTGCCACCCTGTATACCATCGACACCAAAGATGTTATAATATTATTTAAAATTGATTCGATAAGAATATTTTGTATAACTTTATGTTACTTTCACAAACATGACCTTTTGATAAATTCTGACCCATTAAGAACGAGGAAAAATATTTTCTAAAACTTGAACGTACAAGAGTAAACATTGATACACATTTTAATGGCCAGTGTAAACAAGAACCAAAGTGTTTAGCACAGTTTGACTTTATAACATGTAATCTACAAGTACTTGCAATTTACAAAGTATCTGTATAAGTTGATCGGTAAATAATATACAAAATAACAGGTTAAATTCGTTTATGTATTTATAAAACAAGTTATAATCGGCCTATAGTGTTTAAATGCCCATGTTTATTTAACAGCTCAAAAGGGATTCTATAACATATATATAGTCTTTGTTGAACTGGCTATTCAATTTACAAATTAGTCGATAAATTTCAAATTGAAATTTTATTGTGTTTACTACTAAATTATTCCAATGTTTGTTATTATTCACTTAGTTGTACTTTATTATGCATTAATTATACATTTTCATTAACTTGTGTGTACCCTTAATAAAAATTGTTTGATAAATATTTTAAAATTAAAAACTTTCCCTATTCAATACTTATCTTTGCCAAACATTTGTATGTGCCTATCAATCCATCAAAGGTAATGAAAGATAGGGTGTAGATACAGTGATTTATTTTCAAAACAGTTTGTTCAAACAAGTGGTCAGCTATAGGTAGAAAATGTCAACGATTACCAGGTGACATAATTCTTAAAACTGTAATTATCACGATTAGTCTATTAAATACCGGTATGGCACCACAATACAATTTCACCAATCTAAACGAGAATTGTTAATAAAAAACATTAAGTTAGCACAATGACAAATTTGAGCACTATTACATTTTTTGCCGTCTTTTTTTGCCGTCAGAAATCAGCGAAGAGGATATAGTCGAGTAATTTGGCGCCATATCATTACATAGCGCATTCGGATGCGGTACTCCGGCGTCATATAACATTACAAAATATGAGAGCGCAACTTAGGTATCATATAACTGTAACCATCATCAACACTTGGTTCTCGGGTGTCATATAACAGTATAGTACATCTGGGAGCGGTACTCAGCCGTCAGTTAACTGTTAAGTATACCCATATAACTGTATGACATACTGAGTTTTAAAAAGTGTGTTCTGTATTGCTAACCCAATATTGAAACAGTCAAGAAAATTACATCTGGACGGGGTGGTCGGGTGTCATATAATAGTATAGAACATAGGGGAACCGTACTCGTGCGTCATAAAACCGTGTAGACCATCACATCTGGACGCGGTAATGGTCATACGGCATGTCATATAACAATAAAGAGCACATGGGAACGGTACTTTGTCGTCATATAACAGTACAGAACATCACAGCGTAGTACTCGAGTGCCTTATGATTGTTCAGATAATCTGGGAGCAGTACTCGGGCGTCATATAACAGTGTCAAACACTTGGCCTTGGTACTCGTGCTGCATTCATATATTATATTACATCTGCACACGTTGTCCGTGCAGTCTCGTTTTACTTTTATCTTTACAAAATATTCGCAATTTAATACGAATCATGAATTTAGCTAAATATGTTTGATATGATTTTTGAACTTTCATGAAGATTTTATTTTCGAAATTCATTTCTTTCATGATAGCAAATATCAAAAAGGCTTTCATAGATGCTGAATATCCTATTCATACATACACACATAATGCCTCTCTTTAAACACGGATTTTTCATGTTATTATTATCAAGTCATAATTCAAACCACACGTAGACGAATTTAAATAAAATTGTATTATGCATTGAATATATAATATATTTCTTTTAAATTTATCACGCCGTCATTTTATTTGAACGTAATGTCATTATTAGATCGATAAATTCTATTTGTATTATGAAAATCTATCAGTTTCTTTCAATAAGATTTATATCTATAGAAGGGTATGTTTATCCTCATCAAAGGTTTTTTGTAGTATTGATTTTTAAATGGAACAAACAAGCTGCTAATAGTTTAAGTTGCGGATCGATTTTCTTTAAGGTAGAACACCCCTAATGAATTTCGGCATAGTTCGTTCACTGGCGATTATTTACATGTTCGAATTCGGCTGTAGTCTTAAATGTATCTACAATGTAAGACCTTGACACTTTACCATACAATTTCATTCAAAGTTTATGAAAAGTCATTATGAAAATACAAAAATTGAGCTGTCAACCTACTTTAGTCCGGTCACATTGCACTGACGTATATGCTGGCCTGGGTCTGCTGGTTAAGGTTAAGGGTTGATTGAACAACTAGTTGGTTACAAACGTGTGGTATATAGTAGGCAACTGGTGTAAATACGTACTGCAAAACAGTCGTGAATTTCCGTAATTTTCCGTTAAATTTATCTTGCTTATCATTTTTATTTTTTTTATTTTATTTAGTATTTTTTTTAAGTTTTATAACGAGAGTCTCCTATAAATCTGTGTTATATTGGCCACGCTTTTATATCTGTATTTTATAAATGTTTTGTACTATGTAAATATGCATGGATAAGACGTAAATCAACAAATAAACTGCTACTTTTAATTAATTAATTAATTTATTTATTTATTTTTTTATTTTTTTTTTTTTGGGGGGGGGGGGGGTGTACTTTGTTCCCATAAATTACTCGTGTAGCTTATTATATCACATGTTAATAACGACCGTAAAATGCCGATATTTCTCGGAAGTTGCCGATTACCTTCTTGATCATATATCCAGGATCCTTTATTTTCAAAAGATAAAATATAGAAAAAAGGCAAAGCACGATTTATTATATTATGTTCTCATTTATCGTCTGAGTTTTAAGATTTTGGTGACGTCAATAAAGAGTTATAAATTTACTTTATTGGGATTAGACAGTTCAGTTTTTAAAAGAATTATAATTTTCAAAACTGAAATATAATGGGGGAACGATCCAAATGTACCTAAGTACTTAAAATGAACATGAATTTGTTCGTATTCATAATACACACAAATACTTTCTGTTTATTTCATCATGAAACTTATTGAATTAATTTAATCTGTGTATTTCATAAGGTCAAACTTTATTAATAATTCTATACAATGGAGTATGATAGGAGATTTATGCGTGATTATTTAAGTGGGAAAATTAAAGTTTTTTCTCTCATTTTATTGTACATGTATACATAGGCAAATAGATCACTTCCCGTTATGAAAGTGTGCGACACGTTTAAAGTTTATTGTTACATTATTACATGTATATATATTACATTCTAATATTCAAAGAGTAATAGCAAGAAACTAAATGGTTTAAATTATCGTACACATTAAAAAATAACAACATGGTTTTATTACAGAATATTTGGACAAATTACGAAATATATATAGAATGTAATTTTGCGTCCATTTATCAATTATATGAGCAGTATTATGTTATTGTAATATTAGTTAATTTTACAAAAGACCGGTGGTGACTTTTTCAACTTCATGAATTTCTGTTTTCATCCTTCATGAATTCACAATTTTAACTTAATGAGTTCAAGATTTTAACTTAATGACTTCACGATTTCAACTTCATGAGTTTCCAATTTCATCCTTCGTGAATTCACAATTTTAACTTAATGAATTCACAATTTTAACTTAATGAATTCACGATTTTAACTTAATGAATTCACGATTTTAACTTCATGAATTTCCGATTTCATCATTTGTGTATTAACGAATTTAACTTCATGAATTCATGATTTCAACTACACGAATGTACGATTACAACTTCATGAATTCCCGATTTCACCCTCCGTGGATTCCAAATTTAACTTCATGAATTCACGATTTTAAGTACACGAATTTACGATTGTAACTTCACGAATTCACGATTTCATCTTTTGTGAATTAACAATTTGACTTCATGAATTCACAAATTCAACTACACGAAAATTTCAACTTAATTCACGATTTCATCCTCCGCCAATTGATAATTTTAACTTCATAAATTCATGATTTCACCTACAGGAATTTACTGTTTTAACTTGATGAATTCAAGATTTTATCCTCTGTAAATTCAAAATATTAACTTCAGGAATTCACGATTTCAAGAACACGAATTCACGATTTCAACTTCATGAATGAACTACACGAATTCACGATTTCAATTTTTCAACTTCACGAAGTTGAAATTGTGAATTCGCGAAGTTGAGATTGTGAATTCATGAGCTTAAAATCGTGAATTCACGAGTTGAAATCGTTAATTAACAAAGTTGAAATTGTGAATTCACGAAGTTGAAATTGTGAATTCACGAAGTTGAAATTGTGAAGTTGAAATTGTGAAATCGTGACGATGAACCTGATAATTCAAGAAGTTCAAGATCACCCTGTTCATTCGTATTATTGTCAATTGTTAACGTACGTAACCAGATCGCGCATTTTTCAATCGTTATCATTTGTTTTTGTTTTTACCCCACCATTGTATTATGATTTTTCCTTTTAAATCTAACTTTAATAAAAACTCAGTTCTGCGGCTGTCAACGGAATCGATTTGTACTTGTTATTGATTTATAAAAATTAAATGATTGTTCACTTAATAATAGCACTTAAAAACTTCAAAAATAAAACGTTATCTATTCAAGCCCGGATTTTGTAAAGTATCAAGTTAAACAGAAAACGGGAACATTATAATAATGGTTATTTAAACCTTTTGTGAAATGACAACCAGCATTCCTTAGATTATATTTTATTATTATTATTATTATTATTATTAATTATTATTATTATTATTATTATCATTATAATAATTATCATCATCATTATTATTATTATCATTATTATTATTATTATTATTATTATTATTATTATTATTATTATTATTATTATTATTATTATTATTATTATTATTATTATTTAAATATGTTTTCATTATAGTATCATAATAGTATGTTTGATATAATTTTTGCATGTATTTTAATCAAATGTACAGTAACAAATACTGTAAAACACTTCATATTTAAAGTGAAATGTGTAAAGAACACGTACATAACATCTCAAATGTTCAATTCATTGTATTAAAAAAGAAAATCAGTTAAGAAATATCAAAAGAATGGGAGAAAAATCAGCTGCATGTATATCGATCGTGATACCCTTTAATATAATATCATTTTATGCTATATTATTACATTTATTGAATTAAGAAAAAAAAGAATTGTACGATTTTTTCTCTCTCGAGCAGATGTAATGAAAACTTGCTCTACGGCTGTAGTATTGAAATTAAACCGTTCGAAACTAATCGGATCGATTGAACTCTTTTAACATCTGGGGCTTTAAACGTTTACAGATTTTCATTCATTTTCTATGGATTATTTTCATTGCATTATTCTATACATCTTTCAATTCGAATGAAGGAATATTTTATTTGGAACCCCAAATGTACTTTACTATTGTAGCTTAACTATGCGATCATATATCAATGAATGCGACCTCAAAGTGTTGATACAAAAATAGAAGATAATCCAAACAGGATCTTTTTAATAAAGAACCAAGTCAAAAGGGTATTTGTTATATTTTCGTTATATGTTTTAATAAAATACCATGAATAAATAAATTTGAATCGCGAAAAATTCGAAAACACGAACTTGCGAAATGAATACCCGCCCTGAATACCCGAAAACAAAAACGCTAAAACAAATAAAGATATTCCTTCTTTTTTCAGGATAATGAAGACTCTTTAAAAGGGCAAGCACAATTTTAATTCAACACCAACATGCCGACCAACTTCAAAAACCAGAAATATTCCTCAATAAAGAGTGACTGCCTAAAGAGAGGTGAACTTTTTGAGGACCCTGAATTTCCAGCCAACAGTAAATCTCTGTTTTTCAGTAGGGTTGAAAACGAAATAGAATGGAAACGACCAAAGGTATGTTCAAATGTAGTATTGACAACTGAAAGATGAGGTAGATGAATCTGGATAAATATTTCTGATCCAGTTAAATACGAGTATGTGATCCAGTTAAATACGAGTATGTGATCCAGATAAATACAAGTATGTGATCCAGTTAAATACAAGTATGTGATCCAGTTAAATACGAGTATGTGATCCAGATAAATACAAGTATGTTGCGGTTAAACATGTCAGGTTTTACTTAAACAGTTCGAATTCAGGATAATTCGCAAACCCAACTTTTGCGCAAACCCAACTTTTGTTTGAGCGCAAACCCAACTTTTATTGACCACTATGTTCAACTACATGCAATATGTTATAGAAGCGAGCCTAAATATTGAAACGGTTATAGGCAGAGTTTTATCAACCGCGAAAAAATATTCAATTTTATAAAGTAAAAATCATTTATGGTTCAGGGTAATTCATTTTCAGCTACTGTCAAGCGATCAATCTGAATAAAATCAGCGCCCAATGTACTCTACGCAAGAAATAACTTAAGTAGATTAATCTTTAGACAGACTAGTCAAACGATTTTTTTTTGCTGAAATGTATGTTTCAAGTATATTTTATGAAAATTGAACGCCCTATGTTCAAATATGATGTCTGAATTTCATATGTTGTAATATGTTTGTAGTTTTTCATGCATATTAAAATAGTCACATAAGAAAGTGACTGGTATCTTGATAAGACATAGCCTGCGAAATCCGAGATAAAGCATACGTCACTAACTCTCTAGTTATTCAGATAGCTTATGGAATGCCGGTGCCCATCCGTGCCTATAATAAATAAAGGTCTTCGAATTCTTTAATCAGTATAGCTGGAATAAAACGCCATATGACTTGTTGTGGTATGTACCGTCCCAACATGACCCCCTGATGATGATGTTGGTGCGACGTGAAAAAAAATCCTTAAACGATGTGGTAAAGTATATTTATTCATAATTTGAATAATAAAATGATGCGAAAAAGTATGCTTAAAAACATATGATTTTTTTAAGGCAAAAGTCATTTCTACCGGAAGAGCGAATCAGACAATTCATAAATATTGTGCTGCAAAAATGAGGCGTATCATAGAATTTAATTCTTGACATGCGTAGTTACGAATCAAATCACCATCTGATGTTAATTTTATTGTTTTAGGAACTGTGTAAGGTGCCAAAATTGGTTGTTGAGGGTGTAACTACTGACGATCTCCACCAGGGGGAGGTAGGGAACACGTGGTTTGTTACAGCGTGTGCTAGTCTTACAAGGGAGAAGAAGCTCTTCAACACAGTAAGAATAGAAACCTTGGTTTTCTTATATCATATATTTCTTAAGAAATCATCCTTTTTTGAGAAAACGTGTTTACAAAAGCGGACACTTCGTCCGCAAGTAACACTGTAGAAATATTTCAATTTCTTAACAAGTGATACTGTTTATAACTTAGAATGGCGAAGTATTGAACCTTAATTCTTATGTACCTCTCATCATGTACATAAAGGAATTGAATGGTTTTGTAATGTTTTGGAAAATCCGATGGCACGTGCGCTAAGTTATCAAAACACCTGCTAAAAATGCTGTTCATTAATATTTCAGGTTAAATGATAATAAAATAATCTTTTCCTTAAATATCTATCCATAAATGTAATATTAAAGCCTTTCAGGTACTGGTATTAAAAAGTACGTATGAAATGGTAAATATAAATATTAACCGGAAGTCGCAGTCTATTTCGACAGCAATTTCTATTTATATTACCTTTTTGTGTCACGTGTTGGTTTTTTTCCGCAGTGACGTCATTATCTGAGATAATACCAATATGGCGGCCCGAATACATGCTCAAAATGAAATGGTCTGTTATCATAATTAATCTATGTTTTAGGTATTACCAGATCTCAAGAATCAAGAATGGAACGAGAAAGCTGATAAACCATCATACGCTGGCGTATTTAAGTTTAATTTTTGGAGATATGGGGAATGGATTGAGGTTGTCGTTGACGACCGATTACCGACGAAAAATGATAAACTTGTGTTTTGTCATTCCAACTCAAGAAATGAATTCTGGAGCGCATTGCTGGAGAAAGCGTATGCCAAGTATGTATAAGCATGTAAACTTATATCATAGTATGTTTATTATAAGTACCATCAGCATTGTCAATAACCGAATGTTATATTCAATTTATGAAGTCATTCAAACGATTTTATTCTACAAAAGATTTCCCGTTCGGTTTGAAATTGGTAACTCTTAATTTCATATCGGTTTAGTTTCAAACACTTTTCACATGCTAATGAAGTAAGTGGAACTAATTCCGTTTTTTGCGTCACATTCGAAATGTGCGTGTCAAACCGAGCAATATCTATGTCCTGCAACGGTTTGACATTTGACTGTCCAGTGATAACTGTTTATTCGTCTAATATCAGAAAAAATAATAAATCTTTCTGCATAGTCATGTGATTTGAAAAATAATAGTCATGTGACCTGAAACCATTTCAGGTTGTACGGCGATTACGAAACTCTTGGAGATGGTCGCACTGCCGATGCTCTTGTGGACTTTACTGGCGGTGTTGCCGAGAAACTCGTGCTGGCAAACCTTGGACTAAATGACCTCAACTGCCAGCTTGACTTCTTCACCAAACTGAAAGAAGCCCTTGAAAATAAAGCACTTATAAACTGTAACATTGATGTAAGAGTTTTACTTATGTAACGTTTGTAAATGATTCTTTATGCCTCTTTTTTCAAATTCACTATTCAATTAACATATCTGTGATCTTCGAAAGGCCATGGATGGGAAGTAATCTTGTCAGTTATTTGCTTATTGAAGAAGACTACACGTCGAAAGCGAAAGAAAAGCGTTTGTTTTCATTGAACTAATTATATCTTATAAAAGAGAATAATCCGCGTTAATATATAAAATTATACTGTCACAGAAATATTTTAAAAGCTTGATTTCTAAAAGCTGCCTATTAATGTCAGGTATAATATATCTGAGCGCAAAGTTTCAATTAATGTGGTGATATACTAGTCTTAATAGCCTCCTGGCGGCAGCTAAATATACCCACGTGACCAGTGTAGACCAATAATAAGCTGGCACTTTCATATCGTCTACTAATGGTCGTAATATTTCCCCTTTTTTTTAATCTATACATAAGAATGTTGTTTTGTTCAGATAAAAAGATGAACACGTGCATTTAAAGTCCCTTAATGCTAAAGATATGTTTTAATTTTGTATTTCTTCTGCCTCAATGCTCCCAAAAATACTCATTGGAAAATTACCTTTGGGATATCTTTTGCTTCTGTTGCTTGTTTGCAATTGATAAAGATATAGTATTTTGTATGGAAGTCAAATAACTATATTGTTAACATGTTTGCTTCTTTTATGACAAATAATTTTACATTCCGTGCTACTTTCTCTAGGTAATCTGCACCTCAATAGTTCTTTAACCATTATTTCTCCGTTATAAAACTCAAATGTTCTTTTGGAAGAAGTAAAAACAAAAATGTTTCTGAAGCATAATGTGTTTTTAAATATTTAGCATTTTGGTAAGGGATAAAAATATGATCACGTTTTTATCTATTTTCAGTGTAAAAAAGAGGACAACGACAAAGAAACGGCCCAAGGTCTTATCCTAGGTCACGGTTACAATATAACTAAAGTTATGGACATTAGTGTACCGAAAAAACTTCAGAGTAAAATAGGTCATGAGAAAATGTTCATGCTCCGGCTAAGTAACCCATGGGGGACTAAAGAATGGTCGGGGCCTTGGGCTGATGGGTAAGTAGATTTTTTTTTGGTAAATAGTAAAATATTATGATCTAAGTGTCCAACAACACCGTACATGTTACAACATATCTCAGTCTAAATAACGCTCCGCCTTTAGATCTGACCGTGACCAAATATGAAATCATTTCTGGTGACCTTTCACACAGCCAATCATCGGCGAGCTTTCATAATTTTGAAAGCGATATGGTCTCTAATTTTAACCCTGGGAAAATCAATTCTGAGTACGATTTCGAGAACAAATATGATGTTATCCATAAAGCCGACAGGTAAACTTTATTAGTTCAAGTTAATAAAATTTTGTTAATAATTACTTCAAACATTTTTTCTTTTACAAATCAACAATTTGTTTAACTTCCCCGGGAAACGGTATTTTGAATTGCTTATGTAAGCATATACAATATATCTAAAAACACAATACAATATACATTAACTAATATGTGATATGGCTGATATGTTTGATATGCCTATGCCTATGTAAAAACCGGTTTGATTTTATGGCTAAAATAGGTTTCTCAAGAAATCCGAGTTATAAAGAAAGCGAAACATATACGGTCGACATCAAACCTATAGAAAAGATATAAGAAGATCTGAACTTTAGTCAGATTGCAACATATCTGTATGTGACATACGTACAAATGATGGCGTGGCCAATGTTCATGTGTATTTGATTTCATTTATACTCGCCACCGATTGCCTATATGGCCGTGTCCTCCAGAAGGGTATTAGTCATTCTATATTTTTGGAGGATAGTGCAAGATACTGATACAAAAAGATGCCCCAATTCCAGAAGTGTCCCCTGGTTCTTTAACGTGCCGAGTGTTAAAGCACTCTTGCAGGGGCCTCGATTTAAAGTATCTGATTAGAAAAAAAAAACTGATTAGTTATTTTAGTTGGCAAGCCCAAGATCGAACCTACAATGTCGAGATTACAAGTCTCGCACTCTAACCTCGTGAGCTATGCAGTCTTGCATGGCCTAGTGGTTAACGCGGAGTATTAGTAATCGAAGGGCTGCTGACCTCGCAGGTTTAAACCTCGTCAAGGCCAAGTCGTTGTTTCCTTGAGCAAGAAGCCTATTACTGGGTGGTATTGTTCTAGCACAAGAACCGATCTGAGACTGTTTCAATGAGTTATAGCTTCCAAAACAATCAAACTAAAGTTAAATAATAATTCTGTTCAAACTAAGTGATAGCTTCCAACACTATCAAACTAAAGTTAAATAATAATTCTGTTCAAACTAAGTGATAGCTTCCAACACTATCAAACTAAAGTTAAATAATAATTCTGTTCAAACTAAGTGATAGCTTCCAACACTATCAAACTAAAGTTAAATAATAATTCTGTTCAAACTAAGTGATAGCTTCCAACACTATCAAACTAAAGATAAATAATAATTCTGTTCAAACTAAGTGATAGCTTCCAACACTATCAAACTAAAATAAGTTCGGTGTAAACTACGTACTATGCTTTACAGATATCAGACAAAAAATGATAATACAGATTTGATTCAGAAATTATTTTAATTTTCTGTTTGTAGAGCACCGGAATGGAACTCTTTGACTCGTCATGAATGGGACAAAATGGGTATCAAGTTTGAGAGTGAAGGTGAATTTTGGTAAGTTAAAGGCCCATTAAACTTCAAAAAACGGAAATATTTTAATTTTCTAAACTTTCTTTATTTTTGATGTAAAGGTACACTAACAGTATATATTTATTATACCGAACCAGCAGTTTAATGATATTTTTCGCCGCTCTGCGAGAGTCATTCTTCATTGAATGTGGCTAGGGGAGAAAACAAGAACATTACTTTTTCTTAAGTCTTTTAAGAATGCTCGCCCCTGGTTAATATTGCACGTGTGAGGATGATAGATCGAAATTACACCATATGACGTCACATAAGCATATTATGTGGGGTATAATAAATGAAAAAAATATGCACTATCTTCTCCTACTCAACTTTTCCTAAAGAAAGGAACAAAAATAAACATATATGTGCATTGTCAATACGTGATGTTATATCTAATGTGTATGCATGTCGCGATATAGCTTTTTCTAAGATAATGACGTAACAATAGAAAAATATGTACATATATATTGCAGGATGAGCCTGGACGATTTTGTCAGTAATTTTACCAATGTTGATATATGTCACTTTGTCAACACCTCCATTATTTCCCTGAAGAAATCATGGCACGAGAGCGTCTTTCACGGGGAGTGGCACGTGGCAGGAAGAAATGGCGGAAGTGACTGGAACTCAAGAACGTTTCTTAGTAATCCACAGGTTAATATAATTGAGAATTTTGCATCCTACAGTACACTATTAGAAATTAAGATTTTTTTTGACAGGTTATATGACCCTATATAAACGGTTGTTTGTAAATATAACCCGAACCTCCAGAATTTATAATACTGCCAAATTCCATTTTTACAGATAAATAAAAGTAAGATTTTTTCAGCCATGTATATCAAATTTTATAATACTGCACGTTTGTAACGTCGCTTTTTATTGGATAATCGCGACGTTTATATAAATTTATAAAGGAAACTCGATTTATTCCTCTAAAAATGGTGCTTGCTGTATTATAAATTCGTTATAAATATTTCTTACAGGTTATATGACCGTATATAAACGGTTATTTGCAATATAACCCTCACCTAGCGGCTGGGGTAATATTTACAAAAGGGCCATATAACCTGTCAAACATATTATAACTAATAAGATTATCCAATGAAAAGCGACGTATTAAAAAGTTGAAGTTTTAAGTATAATCATTTTAGTGTTGAAGCCACACTATGGTTCACAAATATCATTAATTCTTCGAGTATACCGATAGCTCTTCTAAGTTATAAACATTAATATGTGTCTACTTTTATGCCGATTTTACTTATCTTCATCCCACGTGGTGTTTGAATCAGTGCTGAGACACAAATTTAATGGCCCTTAGACTCAAGGTCCTTGTCAAGAAAAAAAAATCGCCTTGCCCGAGTTTCGTACCCGCGACTTCTATTGAGTGAAGCGACGGGCGGACATTTACCTTTATAATGCTCTAATTAATTGCAATCACGACACCACGGCCTCTATAGGAATACTTTTTTTTCTAGAGTGTCAGACTGCCTGTAAATGTCCAAAGGTCTGTGATTATAAACCTTCTGCTTTTTTTTTGGGCCAAATTCTGCATTGACCTGGCATTGCCAAGAAAGGGGTAGTGTAAATGACCTATCATGTGACGCTGGTGCTGTTACAAAAATGCAACGTGGTTTTTGTGGCGCGTGATGAATCCTTCTGTTCAAAAATAATTGTTCAGCCGCCGAACGTTCCGCTCGCGCCGGAACCCGGGATCGAACCAGGGACCTTTAGATCTTCAGTCTAACGCTCTCCCAACTGAGCTATTCCGGCTGATGGTAGCTAGGTAGAAGTTTGTATTAGATATTTGAATTTTAGCAGTATCAATTCCATTAAATGAAGTGCATGTAAATGAAATCAGGAACGCCTATAAATATGCAAATTTTATTCTCTGACGTCATCATCACACACAAATAGATCAAAAACTAAATTCTAAGGACATCAATATAAACTAAAAAAATATTTATTATGAATGAAAAGTTGTTTAATACTGAATATGATGTTGTTGTCTGTTTGCTCTACAGTATGTGTTTGATATACATGTAACTGAAATTATGTTTAATACTGAATATGATATCTTGATACTGAATTATGTCACCGAAATCTTGTTTTATACTGAATATAATGTTTCTTTGCAGTATATTATTACTGAAATGTTGTTTAATACTGAATATGATGTCATTTAAATGTAGTTTGATACTGAAAATTATGTCAATGAGATCATGTTTTATACTGAATATAATGTGTTTTTTTACAGTATGATATAACTGAAATGTTGTTTAAAACTGAATATTATGTCACTGAAATGTTGTTTAATACTGAATATTATGTCACTGAAATGTTGTTTAATACTGAATATTATGTCACTGAAATATTTTTTAATACTGAATATTATGTTCCTATACAGTATGTGTTTGATATAATTGAATGTTGTTAAAACTGAATATTATGTCACTGAAATATTGTTTAATACTGAATATTATGTTTCTATACAGTATGTGTTTGATGTTATTGAATGTTGTTTAATACTGAATATTATGTTTCTTTACAATACGTGTTTGATATAACTGAAATGTTGTTTAATACTGAATATTATGTCACTGAAATGTTGTTTAATACTGAATATTATGTTTCTTTACAGTATGTGTTTGATATAACAGCCGTGAAGGATAAGATAATGGTATCACTGGAACAATATGATATAAACATGTCCCGGCAACAGCTCGGCATTAAACTTAATGAGATTGGATTTCAACTGATGAAGGTATGTTCATGTACATGTATATAGATATGGGCTTGTTGACTGACTGACTCAATCAATGAATAAATCAATCAACCAATCTATTAATCAATCAGTCAATTAATAAATCAGTCGGTCAATCAATGAATTTATCATCAACCAGTAATTAAATCACTAATTTATCAATCAATCAATCGACCAACCAACCAACAAAAAATCAATCATAAAATCAATTAATCAATCAAAACAAATCAATCAATCAAACCTCTAACAAACAAACGAGTGTGAGAGTTAACGTACGAACTAGCAAATGAAAGAACAGATGAATGAAGGAACGAAAAATGAAACTTTTCTAAGTTAATCTTCGAATGATCTAAACAAAATGCAAAAAATGTTTTTTTTTTACATTTAAGGTTAAGGTGGAATTTTTAAGGGCATTAAGAAGCACTATCATATTAACCTGATTATTTTATATTTTCTGTTTTGTCCTACATTAAAATCTTGTATAATTCTACATTTGTTTATACATTTTACAGGTGGAAGAAAACCGCAAATACAGAATTCACATTAACGGAGATCTGATGTTCAAATCGGACTATTTAAGATCTCGTAGTGTTTTCGGGTCCATCGAGTTAAAGAAAGGACGTTACGTGCTTTTCCCGACGACAAAAGACGCCGGTGACACTGGGAAATTCATGTTACGACTCTACACATCAAGTCCGGCGTCCAGCAGGTAATTTTATTTTTGTATTGTTAGTTTAGGCCTTAAAGAATATGCTTGTTTCCCCTCTCGCAGCATATCCACCAAATTCAATTCTACCCAAAAATTATTGAAAAAAAATGTATAAATAAAATAAAATAAAATAAATAAATGAAAAAATAAATAAATGAATAAAAATGTCAATTCTTTTTATTGCATGTCTAATTATTATTATTATTGCAGACTTGAATTTTTGTTGATTTAGTTCTGAAACTTTGCATTCACTTTTTCCTTTTTTTAAGTCTATACAATTCAGATTTATTATAATTACTTTTGAAAAAAAAAAAATTTAGATTAAAAGATATTTTCCTTAGCTACATATCTACCCTGCCCAGGATGGCATGGGCCGCGGGAGGGTAAACAAAGATATTTTTAAGAATGACCTAATTAGAGTGTCCTATGTGTATTATGCTAGAACAATTATTAGTTATTAGCATATTCTTTAGCATCTTTTGACCGGAATATACCGGCGTAGCACGGTAATTATCGAGGAATGACACGTGAATATGACTGTGATAGTATTTAAACGACCTTTTCCGTCTTTCTTACAAAATATATTCTTCTGGTCACTAAATAATACTTTATTGCTACATAATATTACCATAATGTATGTCTTAAATCTATCCCCTCATACGCTTTCCATTCCGGAACTGTGCGTCACTTGCAGATTTTAGACTTGACTTAGATAAACGGCATAGATCTCTTGATACTAATGTTTCTTTAATCAAAATAGTTTCGTCTAATGAACGAAGTAGATTACTAACCAAAATATGTTTTGTTATCAGCTATGAATAATATGAAACTGGTTATTTGACCCGGTATTTATGGCTGTAATTGAAGTTTATATAACCAGTGTTTTACAGAAAACGTCACGATTACATAGTGAAAATTGACGTTACAAACATACAGTTTTTTTGGAAATAATATACTAGTAAACGTCATAATAACCGAATGGAAATCGACGTTACAAACGAGCAGTTTTATAGAAATTTATATGATATACCTGTAAATGTCACGATTGCCCAATGGAAATCGACGTTACAAGTTTGCAGTATTACAAAAATGATATACTAGTAAAGGTCACGATTGACCAATGGAAATCGACATTACAAACTTGCAGTATTATAGAAATGATATACAAGTAAACGTCAGAATTAACGAATGGAAATCGACGTTACAAACGAGCAATATTACAGAAATAATATACAAGTAGACGCTACGATTGCAAAAATAAAATAGACTTTACAAATATGCATTAAAACAGTAAAATTGTAATATCCGCAGGATAATGGGCATGAGGAAGTAAGTTGATTGAAACACCCCTTCGTTCATTTCATCTATCAGAGGCACAATTTGGCACCGTCTAAACCATTCATGTGTGACGTTTTTCTTTCATCACGATATGGTCCTAAAATTTATTGAAATTCATAATTATGCATCATTGTTCTTCCTTCGTGACTGAAATCTTGAACGTACCTTTTATTTGAGAGTTATAATCTGTGGTTTGGGCGGAAGTTTAGTGAGCATTTGAATACCTTTTTTTCTAATTTGTTACTCAGTTACATGTCAAGTTTCTGAAAAAGGTATAAGATAGTAAACGAAAATTGGGAAATTATCCTGCTTTATGATTATTAAATTGTTGTTGTGACTAGATTGTTAACAGCGTGGTTTAGCACCACTTGATGTAAACAGTTTAATAGGTACAAAACAAAAGTTCTGTTTACTTTAAGTTCATATTCAACGGCAGAATTCTTGAAGTAAAAGCTCGAGTTCATAATTTATAGTGTATCAGTACGAAAGGAAAAGAACGAATATTACTGAGGAATTTAAATCTAGAGTTATAAAATAAACACGACTTGTGCACATAATGTGAAGTTCTACAAGTAGATTTACTACTGCATGAACTTATGCCTAGATAAAAAAATGAATAATATTTTTATATGATTTAAATACTGAGTTTTTGAATATTTTTAATAGTTTTGCACAAGTAATGTCAGATTTGACCTTTTATCACTTTTTTACTAACATTTTATTATAACTTGTATAACGTTTCATCTACTAATAATATACTAATGTTTTCAGCAAAGTGTCATCGACTGCTTGGTAAGAATTAATGTCACGTGTGTCAAGCGATCAAGTACCGACAATTGACGTTACGTCACTTGTGACGTCATATTTTAATTAGTAATTGACGCTATAAGTATAACGAATGTACTCAGTAAAGTGCATATTTCCGACTGAATAAGAAGTATATGTTAGTGTTCATCCGTGCTGTTCTACAGAAATTAGAAACTTCGAAGGGTGCGATAGCGACAGGAGAATGTTTCTTATTTCTGTAAAACAGCTAAGGATGAACACTAACATATTTAGTGTCAAGCTTTATTTGGCCCTTGATTACGTCACTACGCGGTACTATGCAGCACTATGAAAAATAGAAGGCGACTATGAACGGATTTAAATCTAGTATAGACTTTTTTTCTTCTATGAAAATTAACACACATATTTTTTAAGAAATACAGCGTTTTCATTGGATGACAAATAAAGCTTGACACTAAGTTAAATAAAATCAGTTTTGCCATTAGAGGCTTGATCAAAAATGACAATATACAAAACATGGCGAACTGTCGTTTGTGCTTTTTGCACCATCAGTTCCTTTGTTTCCATTAAATGATAAATTTGAAAAATTGTGTCCATTGACAGCATTTTTGTTTTAAAGACTGGACATCTTGTATGTCATCCGACTCAAATTCTATTCCCTAAGTCTCTTACATGTAAAATGAATAATTTGATTTTAAAATTTAGGAAATAACAATAAATTGAGGACAGCAAATACAATTTTCCCCAAACTTTATACAACATACAATCTAATTACATATACGACAGCGTTGTCAATAGGATCATAATATCTTAGAAAAAAAAGGTTGAGTAAATGATACATGTTTGATAGTACCCTATTGTTTTACTGTTATTCCTTTTTACATATTTCAAATGCTTTTTTCGCTTGACACATGATAACTAGTTAATGTTTTTTTTTTCATTTTAAATATAACTATTGTCTAACTGCTTAACATCATGTCTTTGTAAAACAGGATCAATTTGCTTATAGTCAGAAAACCCTTTACAAAACCAGTTTAAATGCGTTACAAAGTCAAATTTAGCATATATGCTAATTTTCCACAGGGACGGAAGTTGTAATTAGCGCATGCGCATGAGCGTAAACCAGAGCGCGCTGTGAAAGTTTTCTTTTTCTTCAGTATACATGTGCGTGTTTTAGACAAATATATGTCATTATATATTTAAGTTTATTTTAATTAAGTTTATATAACCTTCGTAAAAAGTGTACTTTATGAGTTTTAGATTCATGTGTAACATTTGTATGGTTGTTTTTATTACTCATAGTACTGCTTCCGGTAAATAATCCTGGTATTACATGTATATCCGTTTAAAAAATATGTAAAGCAATAAAAGGTCGGAAATAGTAATAAAACTCTTTACCTGTGTGATGGTTATTGGTATAAATATAATACATATGCTTAAAAAAAAGCTAATGTTAAAATAATAATGAGCATGTTTACATAACTATACATCTAGATTAATATACATATCTTTTTTTCTGTATTTTAAATTCTTTTAATGTCTCAATAGTCTGGAGCTATTTTTGTTTTTGAAAGCGATCTTGAAATTGCTAAATTTTGTACAGGTTCCAAGCATTTTGATAGTCCTTTTTTTTCATTTTTAACCATATTTGATAAATTTCAAAGATTAAGGTGACGAAACTGTAGCAGACAAAAATTATTTTATGTACCAATCATTTTCATAAGAATTATACGTCATGAAATTCTTTGTAAATATATTATTATATCTTCTTTATTTCATAGGGAGCTAACTGAAGAATGTCCTACAGGAAGTTGCTGTGGTAAGCCCCCTGTCCAGGTGTCTACAATAACAATAGAGGGCGCTTCGGGTCTTGAAATTCCTGCAGACTCGAAAGTCAAAAGTAAGAAAGTTGCTTCTTATATGCTTTAAAATATTTCTTTTATGTGATATAACATTACCTTAACGTTTGGAATGACAAAACTTTATTTTAGACACGTTATTGTCGCATTTTACAGACATTCTTTTCCTAAAAAATACGTGCACAATCTCATACACGCAGACTATCATAATTTAACAGACGACATTTTTAGCAGACGACAATGTTCTCATCATGCAAATGGTTAATGTCTTCTGTTCAATTTTGTTATCTGGCACAAAGTATAATGACTTCGCATTGATCTTAAGATATTCACTAAAGCTACTATAAATTCATTGAATTTCGTGGGCATGCAATTTCGTGGCTTTGTAACAACGAACATTTTGGTAGGTTTTTAAATCCGTGAACTGAAACACTTTGTGCAAACAAATAAAATGCCATTAACGCAATTCATACGAATCATTTTTCAGCAGACGAAATGATATTTCGTTGAATAATAAAGTCTTGAATTAGTGCCCCATGAATAATAATGATTTTTAAATATTATGTTTGTGTCTTATAGCCATTGATCCATACGTGAAGATCATTTGCGAGGGAGAGAAAGTTGTTTCAGAGAAATTGTTAAAGACAAACAGTCCACAGTGGAACATCAAAGCAACATTTTACAGGAAAAAGCCAGATCTTGAGCCGATTACTATTGAGGTATGTTTAAATGAGTAGTGTCCAAAATGCCATCGTTATGTAGTATTTGTTCAGTTTTGGTGTTTCTGTATCTTTGGGTTTATTTATTTTGTTTGTGTTGATCTGGAATCCTCTACTCCTCGATCCTCTACAACCAATCATCTTGCCATTTAGTTTGCAAACTACTTGGTCATGATAGATGACCGATACGTAAGTTAAGTAAAAACTGGAATCTTAGGGTCATCAAACTACTTGAAAGAACTGATGGAAGGCGTGTTTTCGAATTATGAAACACTCGTGCTACTAATCAATGGAGATAACTGCTGCAGACTGTGATAGAAAATATATACGATTATTATCACAAATTTGTTTTAAGTATTTCTATGAAACGGCAATAATAGAAATTGGTAACTTTATAACATTTCAGTTTTTGTTCTGATTTTATAAATAAATAAATAAATTAATTGATAAAATTGAACTGTATTTTGACGCGTGTACACTGATATAGAGGTTGTTGGGTCTCTGCAATTAGAAACGACGGAATGTGAAGGAGATATCGCCTTATAAAATGTTGCCAAAGTTTACCTTTGTCAGAACAATTTCTAGTAAAGTCTACTCTTTAATTCTCTATTTTCTAAGATTTGGAACTTCTTCTTTCTCAGATTTGGAAATTCTACTTTCTTACATTTAGAACTTCTATTTTCTCAGATTTGGAACTTCTATTTTCTTAGATTTAGAACTTCTATTTTCTCAGATTTAGAACTTCTATTTTCTCAGATTTGGAACTTCTATTTTCTCAGATTTAGAACTTCTATTTTCTCAGATTTAGAACTTCTATTTTCTCAGATTTGGAACTTCTATTTTCTTAGATTTAGAACTTCTTTATTCTCAAATTTAGAACTTCTACTTTCTCAGATTTAAAATTACTACTTTCTCAGATTTATTACTTCTATCTTCTCAGATTGGAGACTGTGACTTTCTTACATTTAGAACTTCTACTTTCTCAGATTTAGAATTTCTACTTTCTCAGATTTGGAACTTCTTTTTTCTCAGATCGGGAACTTCTATTTTCTAAGATTAAGAATTGTTATTTTCTCAGATTTGGAACAGTAACATGATGATAGATGATTTTATGGCGGAGGCGAGGGTGTTGGAGCCAGGTAACGAGGAGGGAGAGAAGAAAAAATGTGATTTATTTGGAAGAAAGAAAGAAAAAGACGCCATCCAACCAGGAAATCTTCATGTTTTCATAAAATCTAGTAACGATCTGGCTTACTTGTAACTTGTGAAGATATCAGCGCTGTTTTTTTACCATGAACGTTGCATCACTTTGATACACCATTTGATACGCCTTACTTTTTCTACTCTGAACTCTGAATATATATTTTTGTTAGACCTTTTAAAATGTCCTATTTTTTAAAAAAATTTGGAGGTGGATGGTTGTGTTACAATTTAGATACCTTGTTGTTTTTTTTTTTTTTTTTTTTTTTTTTTTTTTTTTTTTTGTTTTTGTTAAAATAGATAAAATGTCATATAGGATTATAGACCAGGGGCATAAGTGTGACTGTTAGATAAATTAAGTGTTTGGAAACTTGACCGGATCCCCCAGAATCGAGAAGTTTAACGATGTTTAAGATAAATTGGAAAAAAATCAGACACCATAATTTTATACATAAAAAGACCCCAAATAATCAATGATTTGATGTAGAAAAATCCCTTTCATTTCACTAATAAGCACATATTACAATAAGGAATGCAAGATTAGAAAATTCCTTATAGCAATATATTACAATATTTGACTTTTATTTATTTTATTTTTTTTTTTTGGGGGGGGGGGGGTTAGTTGAATTAGGAATTTTCTCGTCGACATTGGGAAATAACTTACTTTTTGGCATTGGGAAATTGAAAACGTTTTCACTTCAATTACATAACAAAAGTTGAACATTTTATTTATTAACCAACTGTGATACGAGATTCAGATATTGTACATATCAAGATTTGTGTTAATTTATTGTTTATGTGCATTTTGAATATTATATATTTGTTCATGATATGTATGTATTCGTTTCGTGTATTTTGTACAAGAATCGTTGGAATTGTTTGTTATACATTACATGTTTTTTTCTTCAAAACTTATGTCTAGACTATTTTTGCTCTTAGTGTTGATTTGTTGCTATTTAAGATCATACTTGAAAAGTTCATAGTACTGATGTGTTGTGTGTTATATAGGTTATGCATTTAAGGAGCACATCTTTAGTAATGGTGTTTTTTTACGCTATCCAACGGTGAGTTTATGTTTGTACAAAGTTGTTGTCATAAGTATAGAGCCAGTATACAGGCACATTCCAGTATACAGCCAAGCCAGTATACAGGAACATTCCAGTGTAGAGCCAAGCCAGTATACAGGCACATTCCAGTATAGAGCCAAGCCAGGTTACAGGAACATCCCAGTTTAGAGCCGAGCCAGGATACAGGCACATTCCAGTATAGAGCCAAGCCAGGATACAGGCATATCCGTACGATATGACCAACCTATATACTATCTTATATTTTAATTTTAGTAATAAAACTCGATAGTTCCTTAAACACCAAATGAACTGATTTAGATTTAAAGGTAAACAGGACTGTTACTCATTTACAAATTTTCTGTAATTTCCGTTCAAATCCGTTCGAGTAAGGTTTACAATGTACTGGTAATGGGCAAGGTGTTCCGGATGGTGTACTTATGACATACATAGGATAAGGTAAAAAGAGTACTATGGGTTGTTATTTTGTTGTATATAAAATTCAGTACGTCATTTCGTCATGTATATAAGTTTGTATTTGTCATTAGAAAGATACAGTGCCTTCTGTGTTAATGTCCTGCAGTAAAAATTGTTTCTATGACTGTTTTATTGTTGTTCTGTCATAATATTATTGTTAGGATTTCAAAAAAAAAAAACGCCAAAAAATACCCATGAAAACCCCTAAACTCTTTACGACGATTTGTTGAATTATTTGTATAATTCTTAACTTCCTTTTCATTATATTCAGCGAAACAATTGAGATCATTGTCAATAAAACAACAGTTGACTGTCTAGGAGTTCGCCATATTGGTATCTCTTTTCGACTAATGACGTCACAGTGAGAAAACACCTTTTCATGAGTGTTTAAAAAATGTACCGAAAATAGACAATTTACGAAAAAGTGCATAAAGAAGGCGGGAACGGTCCAGAATACTACAGATATTACCTCTAAAGTATTCTACATTTTCCTGTGAGTTAGGAGTTGCAAAGGTTATAATTAATATAAGTTTCAAATATATAATTTTCATTTTTATATAGTGGTGTTATAGTCTTTTGTCATCGTCTTATATTTTTGAATATTTCCGTCCTGAATCCATACATATCCGTTTTTAGTATTTTTTGTTTTACACATTTTACTTATACTTTTTTTATATTTTTCTAATATTTGTTAAGTTTGATATTTGTCTGTGATGTTGATAAAGAAATTGATATATATTATTTTTCATATTTCATACAAGTGGATTTTACACACATACAAATATTATATAATATTATATTGACTAAATTAAAAGCGAGTAAGTGTCTGAATGCCATGATTTCGGACCCCATTGAGCATAAGAGCCGCCATATTTGATTTTTGTTCAAATGATGACGTCACGGTGGAAAAACTTTTCTCACGTGACACAAATGTTTGAAAAATGTCTGAAAATAAAAATGATTACGAAAATTTTTTACCGATATTACGCTGAATAAGTCGATATTACAATTTAAGGGTTACTTTATTTTTTCTTAAACATCAAATCTTTCACAATTTTTGTGGATTCGGCATTTTGCGGGGGAAATTAAACCATTTTTAAAGTTATTTTTATGTAGTTGTTGAATTCAATTTCGAAAAATGTATAATTATTACACAGTAACGGTTGATCATGTTTTTTTTCTACGTCACCACTTTAGTTTCTGTAATTGTTCACATACATGTAAATCTACGGAAAATAAACATGTTTTACAAAAAAAAAATGTGTTGAATTGTGTTTTATCATTTTATTTTGTTGACTGAAGGGCCATTCAATGTTAAGCCTTCTACTGTTATCATATTTGGTCATTCAACTAAAGCTTTCTGACAATTTATATGTTGTTGTTATGGATGTTACTATGACGGAAAGGTTAAAGTAATAAAAATGTACTGATAAATCAAGTCTAATGTTAATAGTTGAACACTGTATGAAGATTTTTAAGATGGTTAAAGGTTCACAGGAATAGTGACTCGGAAAGTTCGTTAGTAATTATGACAATTGTTACCTCCCTTGATAATAAGCATGAACATTCTACAATACTTGTATATATACAATGTATAATGTATTTATCAAAAAGGCAAAACCTCCAAGCGAGCATTTTTACAGAATTAAATTAAATAATATATTTCACTATGCTGAAGTCACTTATAACGACCATTTCATGGTTAAAATGCTCTCTAGATTGAATCCATCCATCCGTCGGAGAACACAAATTCACTTAAAATCAAATTTCGGGCTTGATATTTTCTTTTCGGGAAAAGATGTCGTTAAACGGAAACCTAATATTGACTCGGCGTCTATTTCTTTGTATTCTATATTGATGAATAAAGTGCTTATAAATGTTATTATTTTGACTGTAAATTATTAAAAAATATGTACAGTATGCTTAAATCAGTCAAAAATTATCGTACTTTATGATTAGGCCTAATTCATCAAACGATCGTAAACGTGCTAAGCTTCCCGTTTCGGGAAAAGTACTTTAATTTGAATTGATGGTAATCGGCAAAGCATTCCGAATGTCAATTTGAATGGGAACCATGATAAGACGGGAAACCAAAAATAAAATAAGAATAAAAATACATTATTCCAGCATGTTTAAAAAAAATGCAGGTAACTTGCTGGTACTGATTACCGGTTTGTTCCAAAAATAATATGACAGGGAACCAAAATAACCTCTAAAGGAGAGCAGGCAACATTTTAATTTATTACCCATAATTGCGATGTACTTTCCTACCATCACCTTTGAAGATACGTTCTCGTTACTGTTACGCTCGCTTTGTTAGCTTAAAATATACATGTATATAAAAAAAACACTTTCACATTAAGAAAACAACATTTCTTTATTATGTATTGTGCAATAATTAGAAAGTGTTAGTTAAAAGATACAATCATATAAACAGCATTCATTCAAGTGATTTTCATATAACACAACTGAAAACTTAAAGGCACATTATGCCTCAGATATAAATATTTTTTTCTTTCTTTACAAATTTCAAACATGTAAAAAAGTAGTGTTGAATGCACTTTTTTGATAAAACTAGCATGATTTAAATAAAGTGGTAGTTTGACTTCTGCAAAAAAAATAATTCACCATAATTACTGCACTAATTGCCCAAATGCAAAGGATGCAAAAGATGACTCAATCATATTGCCAATGAGTCACGGTTTAGAACCTGTTACATGACATCAAAAATAAAAGACCTTTAACGCTTTATGAGTCTTTAAAATAAAATTTGATTATTCTTTAACTTCATGGTAATATTATTCATAAACTCTCATACATTTTGAAAGATTTCGATTCTTTCTACAGCAAAAGCAAACATCCATGTTTCATTACATACATTGAGAGATGATGTTAATATATTTCAATAAGTTTCTCTAAAATATAGTTACATAAGTGTAACTGTAAAAACAGATATTTACGCACGGTCAGATTTTTTTTACTTATTGGTGGTTTTGAATATTGACGAATGTACAAAACAAAATAAATAACAATAAAAACAACAACGTGAAACATGGAATATATTGTCAGGAAACATGATAATATTACATATATTTTCATGAGCCAGAACGGTTTGTGAAATTTATAGCTTGATGTTAAGTGCAAATATATTCCATATTTCACAAAAAACCGAAAAATTAACCTTTATATTTAATTTTACATTCAAGAAAACAGTTGTTTACGAATACACCTATTTGGTATGCAGTTGAATTGTAGAGCGCAGTAATACATCAATTGATTATTTATAGGTGCATGACAAGGTTCGAATTCAATACATAATTTCTTTCAGCCATAACGGTCTTGAAATATCATACCGAGATAATTTCCCTTGATTAAATGAATAGCTGAAGCTACTGACATTGCAAAAAAGAAACATCTGAGAAAGTAGTCTCAAAAATAAAATATGAGTTTTGGCTCCGCCCACTTTCATATTTGTTTTTTTAAGATAAGTTTACCAAGATCTATTTTTTGTAGAATCCAGAGCCTCAAAATAGTAAAAGTTGTAAAAT